CTACTACTACTACTATACTACTACTCCTGCTGCTGCTGCTGCTACTACTACTACTACTACTACTCCTACTCCTTGCCATTCCAATCGCAGCCGGTCACTCAGCTTGGCGCGTCAGCTAGTGGCAGTGCATTGCACCGGTGCCTTTTAGGCACTAAGACCACAAGGTCAAGTTCCGCTACGAATAGGTGCGAACTCGAGGCCTACCCAGCGCATTCGCAAGTCCCAGCGTTCTCGCTCTTACTGACTAGGTATGCGAACAGTGGGTACCAACTGTACAATTAAACACATGTACAATGAAATAAGCAGAAAATGCTCAGACTGTCAAAGTCATCGTGGAGCACAAACGACGCTGGTGCATCGTGTGCTAACACGGCTGGTTGCAGAAGCACGAGCACAGTGGCCAAAATGGCACACTAAACCTCAAACAGTAGGGGCCGACAACGGCGCCACTAGGCTCACTCCAGAGATTTCAGAACCCAAGGGAGGTCTGGCTGCAGAGCATCGCCGGAGCACAGCTTTCTCGCTCTTGTTAACCGTGACCAGGACTCATGCGTCAAAATCCAAACCACATCCCGAAGCATACAAGGGGCCGGGACCCAGTGCGGGCCATCCCATCCGAGGATGGGGTAGGTGGCCGCCGCCAGCTTTTGATCAGCATTCGGGACAAGGGGTTGATGATGTGCGGCTAAACACTCATCGGGTACCCGAAGGAAACGAAAGGAGCACAGTGTCTGCAACAAGCTCACGCGAGAAAGCGTTTGACAGTTGGCTTCAACAGGCGTGAGTAGGACCTGGTTACCCAAAAATAGCTGACTCTCCGCTTGCTTCAGCACTTGTTGTGGAACAGCGTGGATGAATGTGCTGCTTCCCCCCAGCCCCAGCGGAAAGAGCTGGCACCCTCACACCATGAGTCCTGGTACACAGATTCGCAGTAAGGAAGGTTCTCAGCCAGGAACTCACCCCGGACTTGGGACCGGGCCGGCATTGCAAATGACGGCTTAGATGTCCCGAGTCGTGTGGCCTGAAAACAGCACACCTGTCGACTTGTGGCCCATGTAGGGCGAGCTGGGCGTACTGTTGGCCTGCATCAAAGCTCCGTCGGCACGGCTCCTTGTCAAAGAGACAGAGGGGGTCCCCGTTGCTTATCCTTTGCAGCGTGCTGCAGCTCACTCTTTGTCGACTTCGCGGTTTGCCCTTTTTTGTGAGCGAAGGTAGCAGCAGCCCAGTAAAAAGCCGCAGAGTGACTTCAACTGTACCGTTGCATCAAAGCTCCGTCGGCACGGCCCCGTGCGTAAGCAGAGGAGGTCCCCGTTGCTTATCCTTTGCAAGGTACTCCGCAGCCGCAGCCGCTTTTTTGTCGTTTTCAGAGTCTGCCAGTTGAGTAAGCGAGTGTGGTTGTAGTTCGCTAAGGGGCCGCAAAGTGGCTCGAACTGGACCGGTGCATCAAAGCTCCGTCGGCACGACCCCTTGCAAGAGCAGAGGAGTTCCCCGTTGCTTAGCCTTTGCAAGGTGAAGGCCGAGGGAGGGGCCTGCATTCCATGGCATCTACGCAAAGCTAGTCAGGCAACAAAAGCGTCCCGCTATTGGGACACAGCTGAGCCGGGGTGCTTCTTCTTACTACTACTACTACTACTACTACTACTACTGCTACGGCTACTGCTACTGCTACTGCTACTGCTACTGCTACTGCTACTGCTACTGCTACTACTACTACTACTACTACTACTTCGGCGGCGGCGGCTGCGACGACGACGACGACGGTTACCACCACAACGGCCACCTATTTCTTGGCTTCATTATGCCAGTAATCTGGTACCAGTACATACTGGGATTTTATTTAAATTGCAGTCTTGGCTGCTATCCTTGTATTGTTAGTACTGTCATTGCTTGCAGAGTTTCCGGCACCACGGCGCCATAATAGTTTTCCTTGGCGGCCTACATGTGTAGATGCAGTGGATGCTAGGGCCCATGTAGGTCAAAATATTCCGGATAACAGAGCAAAAACAGTAAACGTTGCGGAACGCAATCCAGGCTACTTTTATGGACTCGTGCCATGTGTCTGCAGCCGAGGAGTGGGAAGTGCTATTTACGCTGTACGTGACATTTAGCTGCTTCGCAGTTCTCAATGCACGGAACTTAGACTGTGCACCCGCCATGCTTATTCACGAGAGTGGCCCGGCTCGCAAGCGGACGAGGCATGTGCCTGAATTTGTGCTCCTCCGCCAGCTGATTTCAAGAGGTGAAGTATCCACCACGTGACCCCTGTGGTGCTCTGGGTTGTTCTACTCCAGGGTCCTGACAGTTCATTCATCGAGTCCATCCTTTCTTTCGATGGTGCGAGACCCAAACCCCAAAGTACAAACTCTGAGCACGAACCCGAACCTCTAAAACCCTAAACCCTACACCCTAAACACCCTAAACACCCTAAACAACCTAAACATCCTTAAACATCCTTATACATCCCTAAACATCCCTACACATCCCTAGACCCTAATAAGGTGATGACCGGAGTGTTCCTCGGTTGCAGCTCTCCGTGGGTTTTGAGAACAACAGGTGATCGTTTCTTTCCTAAGCCTCTCATCTCCAGTGCCATGCGTTTGGGACAGGAGCATGTAGAACAGCCATATCGAATCTTTCGAGAGCAAAAGCATTGATCTTAGTCGTGGCAAGTGGCTTCCCTCACGATTGGGCCCACAAGCAAGAAGAAAGCTCATCATGTCGTTGCTTCCCATGTCCGCACTGCACCGCGAATACAGATTCCCGAGGTTCTGCCACAGTGCGATCACAGGCGCTGCCCAAGATGAGCATCTGATGGTCCAGTCTCTCCTCCAGGAAAAAGATCAGTTCCGCCAACCGACCTGGAATTTGGTGTTTTCGTTTGAAGAAATTCCACTGGTGATCATTCTGCTGTCGCGCGCCTCTTCATTCAGATCCCGGTATGCAACATTGGGAACTGAGGCCAAAAGTTCGAACAGCTTTTCCAAGAGGTGGGCAACGGGGCCGAAGACATTCCGAAGGGTTTTTTTTGAGTGCAGGCGAGTGCCTGTTTGGGTTCTTTTCCTTGATGGCGATACTCGTACTCGAGAAACCTTACCTTCATATCATGCCTCATGGCTCCATGTTTGAGAAGAGGCGGGAATTTGACGCCTGAGAGCCAGGTGGATGATGATGGCACGGGGCACATCACACTGAACGAGTTCGAGCGTCACTTCAACGATGCCTCGCTGGCAGCACTCTTCGAAGCGCTCGACCTGCCATCGACGGACGCCTGGAGCCTCTTCCAGGAGGGACGCTGAGACCGGTATCTTTCTGCGCCTGTATCTGTGTCGAAACTCTATGTCTCTCTCTCTCTCTCTCTCTCTCTATATATATATAAATATAAATATAAATAGATAAATACATATATATATATATCGTTTATTGTACGTGTATCTTTAATTTTGCCCATATCTGAATCTGTGTCTGTGTCTGTTATTTGTAAGGTCCCACTCGCAATCTGACAACTCCATGCACACGCCACTTCCGCTTCGTCGCATATATGCGTGCGTATCCGATGGTTCGGGCTTGGCCACAACGACGAAAACGATTGATCCATGGGGGGGGGGGGTTGCTGCATGGTTTTTGTATCTACGCCCATACCTATATTTGTCTCTGTATCGGATGTGTGTCTGTATCTGTATCTATACCTATAGTATCCTATAGATCCTATAGTAACATCTGCAGCTGTATCTATATCAACGTCTACATCTACATTTGTATCGGTGTGCACATCTTTTATCTACGCCTATGTCTTGACGCTTATATACATGTGTGGGTGTGTGCGTGTGTCTATCTACATACCTCCATACATAGGTAGGTCATCATGACTTGCGACGGTGTTGGGGGCGTCCGGTCTTCCTGGTTGAATTTGCGTTAAGTCTAAGTTGCTCCAGCCAGATTGTGTATCAAATACCGGAACCTGAAGAGCTGCACAAACCTATTCCATGGTCGACGGCAGGCGAATCGAAGCTCTGAACTGGGCCAAAAGAATCGCGTCTCGCAAACCCGAAAGCCGAGCAGGCAGCCCTTCAAGAACAAATTCCGGAACGAATCCCCAGACTGCATCTGAACAGACATCGTCGGAGCCACTGATGAATGCGGGAACGCAGTCCCGAAGCCTGAAAGGTACTGTTACCCAGTTTTCATCTTGAATGTCAGTAGTGACGCGGTGATTCCGCTGACTCCCTGATTCCAGACACTGGATGCAGATGGCGACCACATGATCGATGCAGACGAGTTCCTAGAGCCTTGGACGCGAGAACTGGTAGAAGCGCCTGTGTCTGCGCTGTAAGTAAGCATTGGAGCTGCTGATATGTGAGTATGTCTAGACTGCTGAGGATAGCTGCATCCGCATGCGCGGCCCCCCTCGCTCTGTGGACGTGTGCGCCATTAAGCGACAAGCAAACAAGATTCGGAGGTGGGATAATCGCCGACTTCACTAGTGGAGACGGATCGCAGAAAGCCACCGCCTAGCAGCTGGCGTTTGCGGCGGCAGGCAAGTGGTGGACTTGGCAGATGTGATCGAAGACGTGATGGAAGTGCAGGAGGCTCGGGGCATGCAGCTAGAGTCTGCATGCGGCGTGGGGCGAGACTGGAATAACTCCTCCAAAACGAGAGGCGGATGTTTTGAGTATGTAGTGTCTCGATGCACATAAACGCAGAATGACTTGTGCTACTGCACATCAGGCAGGCGAACCTAGAGCCAGTCCCCAGAACTTGCAAGAAGTCCACAGAGCAACGCAGATGGAGAAGTGTATCTACCCCGAGACAGCTCTTTATCCCAGACTATTCGGACGTAGATGAGTTGTCGGACCCAAACCTTGGCAGGAGATTCATGAAAGCCTCCAGAGGAACATCCGACAGCAGGAAGTGCAAGGAATGCCGGTTCTGTCTTACCAGCAGGTCTAGCTACGCTGAAGGCATGGAGTTCCGGGCCAGAGCCGGGGAAGTCTAGCCAGCGTTCTTTGTGTGCTTAGTTTCAGTTTCAGATTCCTCGAACCTGAGAGAAGCTGTGCCAGTCCCTGTCCAACTTTTGCTGCCGGGCCGGGATCCTGTGAACTCTCACAGATGCGTAAACAGCAAGACGTAAGGTCTGTAACCTTCAGGGGTTGCAGATGTACCGGCCAAGAAGATCCGGATCCCTGCCTACAAGCTTATGATTTTTGAACCATTTCCGGGCCTCCAGGCCTCGAGCAGGGCGTGCTCAAGGGAGCTCCTTCGCAAGCTAAAGCTTCAGTTTCCGAGCACCAGTTTTGTCCTGTAGATCGGTGGCTTTTTGGGTTCACTCCCCCACCACCCAGAGCCCTCGCATTGAATGTTGGAGGTAGCTCTGGGACTGTTTTGAAGCCTTTCGCATCTCCATCCCAACCATGACCCGGCTGACCGGGCTTCACGGTTGCGGTCAGAAAAGTTCGTGGGAAAAGGTGCCGAACCTTGTGCCACTTGGAGGGCACCTTGGCAGTTGGCTTGTGACATGATTTCAGGCCTAGCGCCCTGAGCGAAAAACCCTTACACCTTATCCAGGGGTGAATATGAAACCGATCGTGTACACGTTCGGTGCTGTAGCAGGGTTCCCAGCTTTCTGCACAGCAGCCGATCCAAGGCACGGTGCTTGTCTTTGGCTTCTCGGCCATGGTGTTCAACCCAGCAAAGAAGGCGCAGTCAGAGAAGATCGGGGAGAGTTTCAGTTGGGCCACCACGTAATTCAGTGTGAAGCGGAGTGCAGAAGATGTCTTATCACACCGGAGCCAAGACATCCCGCCGCCTCTAGCCGCTCCTTGCAAGGCGTTCTCAGAGCGCTGTTTACTGCAGAGGTGGCGGCTGAAGGTGGCGAGCCTGGATTGGGAAGAAGCAGGGGAAGAGCAGCAGAAGAAGACGGAGGGATGCAAGAGTCGGGGGAGGAGCAGTAGGTAAATGTTTCCCTAGAGATGATGATGGCGGTTACGATGACAGTGATGGCCGTGGACATGATCTCTTGCAATTTTCGAGATCCTGATGCTGATGTTGGTTATGCAAGCAGGCCAGACATTCCGTTGCAGTGCTCTTTGGCATTGATACGATGCGGATTGAACTATTTCTGGCAGTACATCAGGCTCTCATACAACATTGTGATACATCGTGCGCAGCATACTCCAAGTTGCTTTGCACACCGAGAGCATTCGTGATTGCAATATAGTGAATATGAATATGAATATGAATATATATATATATATCTATATGTATAAATATAAATATAAATATATATATATATACATATATATATACATATATATATGTATAAATATAAATATAAATATAAATATAAATATATATATATGTATAGATAAGTTTTTCTATATGCTATACTCTATATGTAATCTTTGAATGTACGAGAGGTGGCCTACGACGGCTCCGAATTCCGGGGCTGGCAAGCGTTGGGCGATCAAGGCGTACTGGCTGCTCCAGGTTGAATTTTGACAAGCAGTCTGGGTTTAGGGTTTAAGTGTTTCCGGGTTTAGGTTTAAGGGTTTAAGGGTTTAGGGTTTAGGGTTTAAGGGTTTCAGGGTTTAGGGTTTAGGGTTTAAGGGTTTCAGGGTTTAGGGTTTAGGGTGTAAAGGTTTAGGGTTTAGGGGTGTCTGCTGGCTGGGATGGAGCTGCACAGACACAGAGCGAGTCTTCTGAATCATGTGATGAGTGCCGGAGGCGCCCGCACCGTGCATCGAACACTCACTGCTGCTATGATGGCTTCGCATCCGCTTCACAGAGCCCTGGCAAAGAGTCCATTCGACTGTAAACCGAGTACCCTGTACCCTCTTTCACCTCAAGCAGGCATTAGCATTGTCAGTATTATCATTATTCTTGCTATGAATATTATTATTATTGTTGTTATTGTATTATTATTATATATATATATAGACACACACACACACATATATATATATATATATATTATACAGAAGTCACCTGAACTTCGAGGTCGCCATCGCCAGGCCCCTGTACTGGTGGGCTGCTCCCGCACCGACCGGGGCGTGCACTCGGAGGCCAGCTCTTTCCAGCGAGTGAGAGTCTTAGGGTTTAGGGCTCAGGGTTTAGGGTTTAGGGCCTAGTGCTTAGGGTTTAGGGCTTAGGGTTTAGGGGCCGCAGTCCGAGTTATAATAATAACAGTAGGACGGCAACAGCAGCAGCAACTGCTGCTGCTGCGGCGACGACGAGGAGGACGACGACGACTACTACTATTGATAATGATACTGGTAACACAGTACTAGGAATTTAGGGTTCTTGAAACCCTAAACCCTAAAATCCCTAAACCCTTAACCCTGCTACGGTCGAACGACGCATTTGCAAGACGGAGACACGGTCCTACATGTGTGAAGGCACAGCCAACCTCTGCTCTCTAAACCCTCAAATCTTGATCCCCTACTAATCTTACCAGCCCTTAAACCCCAATAACCCCTTTCAGCATGTAAACAACCATACTAACCCGAGAAGCCGTAAGCCTTCTACAACAAAACCGCGGCCCAGCTTTTTCGCATATTTGATTCAAAACTAAGCCCTAAACCCTACACCCTAAACCCTGAACCCTACAAACCCTAAGCCCTAAGCCCGAAGCTTAAGCTGTTCCATCTGGATGACACCCTAAACCTTCAACCCTCAACCAGGGCCAAGTGGCCCATGCCGACTTGCTGAGCCTCCCGGACCTGGATGCGGACACGCTGAGGCGGTTTGTTCCTTTGGGGTTGGGTTTCAGGTGTCGGATGTTTCGGGATTAAGGACCCTAAGGTTCAGGGAATCGGGGCCTCTAGGGTTTAGGAGTTTAGGGATGCCTAGGGGTTTAGGCTTCAGGGTTTCAGGAGTTCGTGTTCGGGTTTTAGTTCAGATTTGGGGGCTGTTGAAGGTCCAGAGTACCTATGTAGGCGATGACAAGGGCATAGGCCGAATGCAAGCTGGAGCTCGCTGAGCCCTAAAAAGATGCCGTTGTCCGCTGGAGGCGCCGGGTCAACTGCCGGCTTCCAGGAGACGTGTCATCCAGATGGAACAGCTTCGGGTTTGGGGTTTAGGGTTTGTAGGGTCCAAGGTTTAGGGTTTAGGGTTTAGGGCTTGGGGCTTAGGTCTCAGAGCTCAGGAAAGGTTTGGACGTGCATTCTTGCAAGGCCCAGTCTCCTCTGCGCCGTCGTTTGACGATGCAGGCTGTTGGCAGGTTACTTCTCTCAGAGAAGCCTGGAGTTCTTTCTCCTTGTGAAACGGCTGCAGTGCTGTGTTAGACCCAAGGCAAACCCAGCATCCTCAGTCAAGCGGAGGGCAGAGCAGGTAAGGCAGTTGCTCGACGTTCGTCCGGCCACCTAGCAGCAACACATGCAGGTGCTTAGCTGTCGCCACGTCCCCAAAGAAGAGGGTTCAGGGACTTGAGTGTGTTGAAGAGTCTGCCTTTTTCCGGCTGCTTGAGGCGAGGGCAGCACGACTGCAGTTTTCTCGTGGCATACAAGCTTACACGCTGCCCACAAACTCTCTCTTCCGCTTCCCTCCCTCCCTCCCTCCCTCCATCCCTCCCTCCTTCCCTCCCTGCCACTCAAACTTCCTCTCATCTCGCCCTCGGATTCTTTCTACCTCTCTCGCTCGTTCTCTCTCTCTCTCTCACACTCTCTGTCTCTGTCTTGCTGCGACAGAACGTATGCTCCAAGAAATGGGTAGATGCAGGCGACAGATCCAGCGATGACCATCGACTTTAGAGCGAGCCGAGGTAAGCAACAGCTTCCATGCACGGATGAGTGCCTTACGCAAGTGCCCTGACTTTCCGGACTGCTACTGGAGAGCTTCGAACGACAGTCTAAGGGCTAAACGCCGTTCGATGTCAGAAAATTCTCGCTGACATTCTCACCTCATTGTCAAGCCGGAATCGGTTGCTAAGCTGCCTGTATTCAGGCGGTATCGCTACGACCTGCTGCTGCATCCACGGGCTTCGCCGTTCGACGCACGATTTGTCTGGGCACTCCGGATGCAGCATGATGCAGCCACGCCGGCGATTTTCTTACCTACAGTTGCACTAGGTCCGACATCCTGACCTGAGAGCTTGTGCTCCCTGTGTCCCAAAGACAGGATACTGAACAAGTCCGGCCACAGCGACTTCAACGGTAACTCTGTAGCCTTCCATGAACTGATGCTAGAAGCGAAACCTGAAGCCCGTACCTTTACAACGGACCCTACAATGCCAGACTCAGCCAGACTCCAAGCCCAAACTGCGCGAAAGCCTTCAACCAAGAGGTCGCACAGATTTCTAGAAGAAGCTGGGACGCGCAGCTACACGACCGAGAAGAACAGCAGCAGGAATATCATCAAAGCCAGGTCATCAGAATCATGCGAATGGTACTCGTCACACTAAAATGCAGGCGGTGGGAGACCTCGATGCCGGTGTGATTTCCGAGGCCGCCCGGCAGCTCAGCGGCCAGGCCTGTGGGAGGTGACTGAAGTTTTGGGTTTGGGCCAACCGGACCCCTGGCACTGCCAGGCCGTGGACTGCAGCCTCCTCACCGTGAACTGGCGTGCTTCCTGCAAAGCCGACACGGCCGGGCAAACAATACAGACACAAGAACCACCATTCGACCCACCTCCCCCTCCACCACCGCCACCACCCCCACCACCCCCACCACCGCCGCCGCCGCCACCACCACCACCACCGCCGCCACCGCCACCGCCGCCGCCGCCGCCGCCACCGCCACCGCCACCACCACCACCACCACCACCACCACCAATACCACCAACACCACCAGTGCCACCAATACCACCAATACCACCATCACC